CGGGGTCTAACGCACCCCCCCCCCCCCCCCCCCAACCACGCTTTCTTCCCTCCTATAGTCGGTAGTTTCTTAAACTTTGTCCTATTGGACTCGATCAGTCTTATGCACCTGTAATCGTAATTTATTGAAATTGTCCAGCATCTGCACAACAGAAATGGCATGGTTCCAGGGGCCTCTTGGCCTTGTGGACCCCATGACCTCCATGAGACTCAATTTCCTATGACCAAATCCGGAATGGTTGACGCATAAAATTCACCTTCTCAATAGAAAAATGCCGTCCAAAATTAGGCATATTGCCTAAGACTACGGGTGACAAGTTTTTAATTCGCTAATGATAATAAGTGGGGATTCTCTGACCTACGCCCTCGATGAAGCTTACAGCAAGTATTCAACTTGAATTATTCTGTTATTGCACTGAAGAAATGTGCTCAGAATTTAACTGATTCCGATATTTTAATGTGCATGAAGGAGCTTTAGTGCTCATGTTATATTCCCTCCTTCATTGACAAAATTCAGTGCTCGAATCCAAAAGTTGTGCATGTCGTTGTCATTTGGCCTAAAATAGGCTAAGATGATAGGCCTGATCTTGTAGATTTCAAATATTTCATGTTTTATGTGTTGAATGGTGTCATGTCATGATGTAGACCTTTGACTACTAATATTCTTTTTTATAGATTGACATTGCCAAAGTCACAAAGGTTTGAAATGGTTGGCACTCGAGTTTATGTTGGTGGCCTTGCTTATGGCACCAGGGAGAGGGACATTGAAAAGTTTTTCCGTGGCTATGGGAGAATACGGGAAGTTTTGCTGAAGAATGGCTATGGATTTGTGGTGAGTACCATTTGCAGAATTTTTCAATTTTCCATGTAAAAGGGAATGAATCCAAATTTATTCTCAGCTGCCTTCTGAAAATGCCAGAATTTCCATGTGCAGTCATGATGTAGACTTATTTTTATTATTATTATACTGTGCCCAAGCTATTTTTTTGTTCTGAGAAACAAAAATGCAACCTTCCACAAAATATAACATTGTCAAGCATGTTGTTTCTTGTAAACTAAATCCATGTGATGAGTGACTGTTATCATGCAAACAAAACAACTTGGATATTCCAAGAAAAATATATTACTTGTTAGCAAAAGTGAGATATATGGTGTGCTTGGCCATCAAAGGGTTCACAATATGGAAAATGATGGCATGAGCTGATGCATCTTAGTGAGGTCTTAATTGATCTTAGGTTATTGTTTGGGACTTTGAACTTAATATGCACATTTTGCACACACCCCACATCCATAGGCTACATTTTGTACACTATCCCAAGGCATTTGTAATTGAAAACAGTTTAATGCAGGTCTCTTGTCTAGGCTGAGGGGATATGAACAGATGAATGATGAGATTGAGTTGTGTCTATTAGTGAATATGAGCCATCACATAAGTAACAACAGCATCTTTTGCTTAGTAGTAGCTGTGGTAGAGAAGACAAACTGAGGAAAAGGGGAGCTTCGAATGTAATAAGCCTAAGATTATGTTTCTTTTGTCAACTGATCGTCATCACCTCGTGATGTCCCAAGCTAGGGTATAGCTTACCCTATATGTTGCCATTACTATAGCCCATTCATGTATATTTATTATTATCAGGAAATGACATTTGGGTGTGTTTGCATGATGCAGTTCAGGTATGCAAAGTATGCACATATTACAGCAATGCTATTTGTGTACCATAAATTTCCAAAGCTCTTTTGTTCCCTGGTTAGTGGATATAGATTTGAAATATGTTGAGACTTCAGCTGCCCCTGATGAATGATACAAAGCTACTGGATAAGCCTTGCCCTAACTTCATTGGCAAAACTTCAAGTTAGCATGTCCTTTGATTATAATTTTTTTTTTCAGGAATTTGATGATCATCGAGATGCAGATGATGCTGTATATGAACTGAATGGAAGAAGTTTACTTGGTGAAAGGTGAGATTTGTATTTGGTGCAAAATTGAAGCTATGATACAAAAACAGGCTTGGGAAGCAAGCTTATGCTTTTATATTTTTTTAGTTCCAACACTTGCGTTAGATGAGTTCTCTAAAAATGGTCAAGTATATGACAGTTGAAGTATTTGACCTGCCTTCAGGCAACTTTAGCTTTTATATGGAAGAACTCAAGGCTGCCTTAAAGATGATTTCATACTGTACAAGCAGCAGTATCTTTAGTGGAATTTGTTGGAGGCATGTTGTGCACTGTAATGCATTACAGAATAAGTAATTTGCTTCTAGTCTTTACATACTAGATTATATAACTGAAATATTTCTGATGGTGGAATTTTAGTACTTGCCTTGAAATTTCCCCAATAATAATATAGTAAATGCTGATGAGACTATTACCATGGTTTGGTGTGGCAGCATTTTAACAATCCTTAATATATTTATACTGGCTATTTGCAGGCCACATGAATTCTGAGTAACATTTCTTCCTCATAACTATAGCGAGGAACCATCATTTGTAGTTTTGAAAAATAAACTTCATGACTTAGGTTTTTCATGGGAGGTTTCTGAATATAACCAGGTGGTTGTTTGTCTTGTCTTTTCATACTGAACATGTGCAATTCAATATTATGCATAGGCTTTCATATTTAATGTAGCAGGAGCAGATCTGTAATAGCTTTTGTGGAGAGGGGGCAATGCAATTCTTGTTGAATATATATGTAAACATTCTTTAGCCTGGTTACCATGCTCATACCTGTGGTTTGCATGTGCATTCATTTTCATGTACCAATTTTAGTGTATTGGGTGACTCTTTTGGTCTATAGGAGCCGTATTAGCACTCTTAGTGCAGAGAGGTAGATTCGCTAGAGCTGCCACTTACTTCCCTGTTTTTCAGGATAATGATAGAGCGAGCTCATGGAGTCCCCAGAAGGGGTGGCTTTGGAGGCTTTGCTGGCAATCGCCGGCGCCCTTTTGGCGCCCGCAACAACAAGTACGTGTGAAGTCCATTTCGTGTCTCTTCTGAATCCCACCTTGTCTTGCTTGCAGAGTGAACGTAGAGATGGCCAGGGGTGGAGCAAGGCCATTTTTTGACAGGGGCATGGGTCGAGGAGGGCGGCGAGGCATGCCATCATTTGGCCCTAGGCATAACAGAATGGGGGAAAAGTAAGGATTCAGTGATGTCATTGTGTAGAGTACATCTGCTTTCTTTCCAAATTGAGAATCTAAAGCAAATTTTCTTGCCTTGCCATAATTTCATCAATTTGTCTCTCTAATTCTTAGGAATACATGATATTTTAAAAGTTGCATTGCAAACCAAACATTGCCTGTTTTGTTGATGGCAATTGGAACTTCTACACCAAACTTTTTAGCTTTGGAATGCACTGTCATTGTCTCATTGATTGCTCATTAGGATAAAGTAGAGACCATGATGGTTCTCGCATTTGATTATCAATCATTTCTTTTCTTGCAGGTACGGTCCTCCAACACGCACCGATTACCGGCTTCGAGTGGAAAACCTCTCAACTAGGATCAGCTGGCAAGTGAGTGAAAATCCTGACATGAAAAAAGATTTTTGGGGCCTTACTTGCTGTGCACCATGACATTTGAATGCATGATTTCCCCAGTGCTTGTCTACAATGTACCTTTTTCAGTTTTTACCTGGAAGTACCTTTCTCCAATCGGCTATAATGTTTGGGGTTTGCATTAAGTATTCATCTGTTTCAGGGATAAGGTCTCAGATGACACACTCTGAGTCCCTTAATTTTGAGCGATTGGGGAATGCCAAGAAGGTCCTTTGAACAAAGGTTTGCTGGCTTTTTTGAAGAACACCTGAGGTGTCCAAAGGGCGATCGGTTTGCTCGAGACGATGTGAGGGCCCCCTTCCTAGGAGTTCTGGGCGTAGTTTCCTTCCCGAGAGAGACGGGTGGTAGTAACGAGTCCTGAGGCCTTCGTGTGGGGCATGGCATGGCGTGGCACCTGTCTGATGTGTGGGCGTGTGTCAAGACACCTTGACAGGCATCCAGCCGGATGACTGTCCTTCCTTCCGTTCTGGATGATCAACAGCAGCTGCTTTTTTTTCCTGAAACATTCTGTCTTTTTCTCTCTCCTCCCTCTCCTGGCTCCTCCTATCCCCATTTCTGTCTATCTCTCTCCTTGCCAATCCTCCCTACTGTTCCCTCCAGAAGGTCTTGGGCTAAGAAAAGCGGGAACAAGAACCACTGGATCTGGTAGGGAGGATGGCAGAGCCTAAACACACCCGAGATGGGATGGTACGGCTGTGATGTCACGAGGGCCTGATGCTTCCCTCTTCCCTCCCTGCATGAGAACGGTTGGATTCCCTGGGCCAGCAATCGAGCGAGCGCTAAGCCTAGAGATGATGAGAGATGATCCCCAAAAGAAAGCATCTTCCTGTGAATGGTTGGAAGTCGTAATATCAGGGCCCGAGCAATTCACAGCTCTCATGTGCAGGTAAAGTTGACTTTGTGAAGGAGCATTTCCTTCCCTGATACCTCAAAAACAAATATGTTCTCCTGCATGATGGGAAAGATCACTGTCTTCACAGGTTTCTTGCCTCTTGGGACACTCCCTCCAGTTTCCCTTAAGACTTTCATGAAAGCTATTGATGTCCTGCCTTTTAAGCCACTTGATATTATTCCTCCAAATATCTCCTAGCTGTCTGCACCTTTTTTAGCTGGTAAATTCCCTTCTCTTCCCTTGGTTGCTAGTTATCCCATACTTCAAAGATGGCTGCTTGCATGTCAATGGAAACCTGCTATTATGCAGATTTCCATTGATGTGCAATGATTATCGATGTGTATGGGATCGTACACAGGTGCAGGGAGGTTTTTTTTTTTTCTCATAATTAATATTTTGCCCGGTTGAAGTCTTCTAAGAAATTTTTTGCATGATCTTGTATATTCTCTTTCTCATTTAATCTGGTTTTAATGATTCTTTGAATTGGTCAAGCAGTGCATCTCTTCACTTCTTTTTCTCATTTAAAATTCATCTTCATTCTTAAGGTCAGCTTTCATCACTTTGATTGTAGAAATTCACATTTCACAGGAGACATTAACTGAAACTTCAGTCAATACATAGCTGAATTTTGAATTCATGAATAGACATCACTTGAAATGGTGTTTGCTGGGAGAGAAACATCACCAATGTTGTGATCGATCAACCCTTCCTTACCTCAAGGAAGCATGGGAAATGCTATCAAAAATCTGTATTTGGAAAAATGATCAAATTCAAGTAAAATAAATGTTCAGGGTGAACTTGGCATTTTCAGCCAGAACTCAGGCATCAGGGTAATCTTATCAAAATAAATACATACGGAGTCTCATAGAATCTGTTCTGTCATGATTGCTTTTTCCAAGAAATGCCTGTTCCCTGAGCCTTGAAGGAAATTGCCTTGGGATGTTCTGGCCCCACTGGTCTAACCTTTTTGCAAATTTATTCAGTTTCTGGGAATTTCTTCAATTTGAAGAAAAGGCTAATGGTTCCTGTGGCATTATTTCAAAATGAAGTGTAATGCTTGCTTGACCAGCACATAGCACATTGATATAAATGTTTTTGCTATCATTGCTTTTGCTTAAAGTTCAGCAAGTTGCATGGACAGTAGAACTTGGCTGTCTCATCCAAAGGCCAAAAATATTGTCTGTTTGAAATATGAGGTTGCATGTATTATTTGCATCACAATGAAGCAGAGCTTGGCTTTAACTCATCTAAGAGACCAGGAAAAAATCTAATTTCAGTCAAGAGTCTTGATATTGAAAGGTTCATTTATCATGTGCCGGGCTGTCTGTATTGTGGGTATGTCTGAGAGCTATGAAAATCTTTGGAACATGAAGTGATCTTTTAGTGACTCAAGATTCCCCCCCCCCCCACACACTGAAGACCCTCCAGGAGTGTAGATTCCAGAAAAGGAAGTGAAGGGTTGCCATTGGTTCATGACCTCATCAGTGGAAGTTTGTTATTGGAGAGCTTGGTGATGAGTTGAGAGGTTTGAAACGTTGTCAATTTTGTAATTGGGGACTAAAAATAGACTGCCCTAGCTAAGAGTCTCCTAATTGAGCTTGCCATAGGTGGTGAATATAACTTCACATATCACATGGGCTTCCTGCCAAGACTGGCATTCATCTCTGCAACCACAGCTGATATAACTGAGCTGTAGGAACATGAAATACTTCATCATCCAAGAGACATGAATGTTATGTCTATTTATTGTAAATATGTATTGTGTATGTGGTAATGAAATGTTATGGTATTACGTGCTGCATTCTGAGTTGCATCTGCTTGGAGCATATTCTTAGATGGTGTGTTGGGAACCATGTTTTCAACACTCAATTATTTGTTTGAAACAGGACCTCAAAGACTTTATGAGGCAAGCTGGGGAGGTGACTTATGCAGATGCTCACAAGCAGAAGAGGAATGAGGGGTAAGTCAACCTGACCTTGATGAGAACTATTTGAATAGACTTGGTTGCTGTTAATCTTTTTTTTTCTCTCTCTAGTGTTGTGGAATTTGCAAATTATGGAGACTTGAAGAATGCCCTCGACAAACTGGACGGTGCAGATCTGAATGGTCGAAAGATCAAGCTGGTCGACGAGAAGAGTCGACGCCGGTCTCGATCGTCATCTTCACGATCCCGATCCCGCTCACGCTCTCGCTCCCAGTCCAGGTCACGGAGTCGATCCCGGTCAAGGTAAGCTCAAGCTGTTTTTATTTTAGATTTCTGCATTTGGTGTTAAGCCTTTGTCTTCAATCACAATGAAAGGTTTTTCAATCAAATGTAGTATTTTGAGCAATGCCCTCTTGACATGTTCATGTCAAATTATCCTTTGCTGACACTGGAGAATATTATATTGAGTCCTCTTTTGCGAATGTCTATGAAAAGTCTTGTTTCTTGCTTTTGTGCACTGGTACATCTCACATGTATGCTAGTTAAAATAAGTTCTGTTGTATTCATTTTTACTTTAGCCCAATGAGTTTAATATCATTGCCTCAAAAATTAAAATCTTTCGTTTTTCTTGTTACTTATTTTAGGTCTGGAAGCCGTTCATCCAAGTCAAGGTGAGGAATTTATTTTGTCATTTTAACATCTTCATGCCCTTAAATGCCATAATGCATTATTTGGTGTTTTACTGTTTTTCCCTCATGGTTCCATTTCTTTGCATAGCAGGAGCCGGTCAAGGTCTGCCAGTCGCTCAAAGTCTCCGGAAGCAGACAAGAAGTAAGCAATTTTTAAATGTCTGTTTTGGAATTTCGTGTTGGTAGATTTGCCATCATTTTGTGGAATGGCATCAATTTGCTTGCAGGAAGGAATCCCGCTCGGTAGAGAAGAGTGAGAAGACCGAAGACCAAAACGGTGGGAAGAAGAATGGGAGCCCATTGCACAATCATTCTGACTCTGAGGGGGGCAACTGAAAGTACTAAGGGAGATACTGTGAATATATCTTTGGGGGATAACGTGTGCTGCATATCCCTTTTCCCCAGATATCCATCTCAGACCTTTCTTTTTGTTTTTTTGGGCTGCCATTCCCTCCTCAACATACATCATAGAATGGCATATAAATCTGGCAGGTTCTATCAATTCAACGAAGAGGGGTTGCAAGGAGTTTCCTTCACTCTTTGCTGAGATTAGGATCAAAAGTGCTAGGGAGGGTTAAAAAAAAGTCCTGCTTTGTGTTATCCCATAGATGCACATGGGGTGATTGTAAATTGTGCAGATTTAGAAAAGCTCTGTCATGTATCTTGACTGTTTGTCACTTGTTCACAGTGTGAAACCTGATGTACTGCAGTGAAATTTTTGTTTAAGTTTATGTGTGGGTGAATAAAGTGATTGCAGAAGGTCACCAGGATTATGCTTTGTTATATCAATATGAATGGCCCCAGTTTGCCTCGGTTGGTTTTATGCCTGCTGACATTGGGGTGATGTTACCATTCCAGAGCCTTTTCCTTCCATTATGCTTGCTTCCAGCATTTGTGTTTGTTGAGTCAGAAGTGGGGTTGTCATTTTAGTTCTTTGCAGATAATTCATCACTATAGTGTCATCCACTGTGGAGGATGGTAGGCACCAGAGTGTATGTTGGTGGATTGCCTTATGGCACACGGGAGAGAGACATTGAGAAGTTTTTTCGTGGATATGGACGCATCAGGGAGATCCTTCTGAAAAATGGATATGGATTTGCTGTGAGTCTTTGAATGTTCTTTCAAATAAGTAGGTGTGAAGTTTTTCTTGAAGAGAATGAACATGAAACTTTCTTTTATCTGCAGGAGTTTGATGACTATAGAGATGCTGATGATGCTGTTTATGAGCTGAATGGAAGAGAACTCCTAGGTGAAAGGTAAGGAATCATTTATTTCTTGTTAAAATACTATAAAGCCCCATTATGAAGAAATTGGGTATACAGTAACTAAATCCTCTTAGAGTAACATCATTTTTATGCTCAATTGAATGCCCATAATGATATAAAATCCTGTTACCTATAAGCTCCCTTTCATAGTAAAGCAATTTGTATGATCCCTACATCTTCATTGTAATGGGCTTTTATTGTTGGTGTTCTGTTATGGTTTTGATTTATCATACATCAACAAGTGAGTGTCTCATTGAAATGCATTTTTCATCTTGTATTTTCCAGAGTGACTGTTGAGAGAGCTCGAGGAACCCCTTTCTCTGGTGGGGGCGGTGGTGGTGGGGGGGGAGGAGGTGGCGGCGGTGGTGGCGGCAGCTATGGGAGGCGAGGACCTCCAGTCTTCAACCGAAGGAGTGGAAAGTAAGGCATTAATCCTTTGTGCTCTCCTGTTGGATTAGGTCCAATATCTGTTGCAGTATTACCAAAAGAATTGGAGCTGGAAGGGTTAAAATTGGTTGTTTCAATAGTTCTGCTTAGGGTATGGCGCCAGCCTGGGTTTAAGCATGGACTGTCAGTGATGAATACTTTGTTTTCATTGTGAGCTCTAAAAAAGAGAGGAATATTAATCTCTGGATGGCAAATCCAATCTAGTATAACTAGATAGGATGTCATTCCATGAGACTCTTTAGGGGCTTCTCCAGGATGTATCATTAGCACATTGTCTTTTGCAGGAAGAAAAACTTACAGAAACCAAGGGTGGATTTTTGAACCTAGCTCTAAAATAATCCTGCTCTATTGGATAATACAGCTTTATAAAGAGGAGAATTATTTTTTCGATTTTTGAACTGGCCAGATAATGCTGGATTTGACAATGCTCTATTATAATAATCCTCAATTATTTTCAACACTACACGAATCGTTACATGAAATGCAATTCGCCATCATTTCGCATTTTACTTCTTTGTGAACGACCCTGCACGACGACGAGGAGTAGTGGAGGACTCTATTCCTAATATATCTATTAGACCTGAAAAACAAATTTTCAGTGAAAAAATACGTCAAGGAATTAACACGAATCGATACGATTGCACACGATGCAAGCCGTGCAGCCCTTCCATTGCGACAAACATTACAGTGAAAAAATACGTCAAGGAATTAACACGAAGCGATACGATTGCACACGATGCAAGCCGTGCAGCCCTTCCATTGCGACTGATGAAAATAATCCAACATTATCGACGAAAGAGGGCCTCTGGACCTACTCTATTACAATCAAGAACTTATGTCTAAATAAAATGGAGCATTATGGAAAATGCTCGGTTCAAAAATCGCTTCTTTGATAGAGTATTTTCCTGGAAATAAAGCTGCATTATCGGATAGTGCTCTGTTCAAAAATCCACCCTAAGTCAGAGAATCCTATCTGTCTGACTGGTGAATTGGTTGGTTAAAAATTTAGCCTTTTCTATGCTGTCAGTCAGTAAACTATGATGAATGTTAATTTTGATTAACAAATAATCTGAAGCTGAAGTTTGTTTGAAATGTTTTATTGCAAAATTAGCCTCAAGTTGGAATCTCACTTCCAAGCCATTTCATGCATTTCATTATTAAAGGTGACAAATATAAATTGAAGGTATGGCATTTAAAAGCATTTTTCTAGACTATCATTACCTTCCCTTTCATTCATGGTAGTTTTACAGATATCAGTTATTAGTTACCTTGACATGATGAAATAGAATTTTTCACTCAAGGGTTTCTTCCTTGTTTCAGGTATGGACCACCCACGAGGACAGAACATCGTCTGATTGTGGAGAACCTGTCTAGTCGGGTCAGCTGGCAGGTAAGCATTCGAGAGACTCGTGAGAGAGTATGTAACTGGAAAGGTGGAAGATTTAAAAACCTATGAAAAGTAGGAAACAGAGACAGTAATGTTTGATCTGGCTGGTATCTTTTTGGAAGAAAGCCCCAAGTCCTTCCCCCCTGAGCCTGAGGGTCCTTCGGTGAGGCTGGGATCCGTTTCCCTTGGCTCCTCTCGTTAATGACGATGATGACCCTGGTGCCCGGATGCCCAGACGCCTGGCCCTTCTCCGGTCCTCTTGGCTACCTCTTCCTCGTGGAGAAAAAACAAACGGCGGGAGGGTGGGGTGGTGGGTCACAATAGGTGGGAAGCAAGGGAGGGCATCGCTGCCGTTGGCGTGAAAGTCTTGTGATCTTACCGCGTGTTTAGGTACAACGTCACGTGGTGTATTTGGCAGAATGGGAAACTCACTTTTTTTAAAGAATGCTTCAAAAGCTTTTGCCGTAGCTTTTTTTGGGGGAAATGTGGAATTCTGATGGGGTATCATGTGAAGACTGGTTTTTGTTTTTCACCTCATTAGCATTAACTAGGGTTTACTTCAGTCATATTGTCTAGAATTTAGCCTTGTAGTTAGTGTGATAGTAAGAAGGGAACATCAAAATTGTAGTGTTTGCATCAGAAGGAAAGTTTGACACTTTTGGAGACCTGTGTCCATGTCTCCAAATAGCTTTCAATGTTCCAATTTGGGGGGTCTGCTGAGCATCATGCCCATTAATGATTGGTAGGAGTTCTTTGGAGGCTGTAGAGCCTAAGAAGGTAACTGTAGTGCTCACCAAGTTATCGAAGATTACAAAAGCACAAATTAAGGGAGAAAAATAACAGAGCAGACTAATGGTTGGGGAGCTTTGAGGATTCCCTCAAAGCGCTGGAACCCAAGCTTGTGCCGGAGCTGGAGCCTGCCCTGCCCACATACCTACCTACATATCTCCGTACCTACGAATCGACCTACCGAAAGTTGGAAGGATCCGGGATTCTCGGTTGACCATACCTTGACGATGATGAGATGAGATGAGATGAGATGAGGCAACCCCGGGGACCTCAGACCGTGTGCGTGTCATTAAGCCTGGGCCGTTCCGATTCTCTCTCCAGTAGCAGCTCCGGCTGCCAAGGTAATAACAACCGACAAAACGTGGATTTCCCACTCTCATTTGTGTTTCCATCCCCATTGACTCTCTTCTTCATAGTCCTTGAGTGCCCCCTCGTGCCTAACGTCTCCTCCCCAGAGGCAGCACAGCCAGCCACTTGTAGATGCTCTGAGGCTATTCATAGTAAAATACAGGATGAGAAGGAAGCCGGGAAGCTGTGCCTCCTTTGAGGAATGGTACCCCTTTGCGGGTTTTTGCATCTGATTGCATGTTCCACAGGTTCTAGAGTGTCTTCAAGCCAGCCATCGCTTTGCTCTACGTGTATCCAGATGTCCTCTCTTGCCTTAGCATGTTGATGAATCCTTCACATTAGACTTAGGATACGATTGTTTTCTTCAATTGGTATCAGGGATGTTTGGATTGGGTATCTTCGCGTGGAAAAGCGTATTTGAAGCACGTCACAAGTCCTGCCCCGTGTCATCTTAAATCTCTTATTTTGCAGCCAGCTCTGAGTTCTCATGAGTCAAGAACAGAAAAATACTTAGGGAACTTGAGCAAATAATAGCAATGACTTCTTTGGCTGCAGAGCAGCTCACAGATCGATTTGTATTCGCGAGTCATAAAATAATTCTCGGGATCTTCGATGTCACGTTGGATGCCTCATGAGTATGGGTAATGCCAAATTTTTCTGTCTTTTTTTTATGTGGGTCAAGTGTTTGTAAGTTGTCTTTCGCGTATGCATTATAACCTTGCATGCCTAGAGGGAATCCATGAGCTTTGAAAAATCCACTGATTTCCTCATTGCTGGTTTTTACCAGGACTTGAAGGATTTCATGCGGCAGGCTGGAGAAGTCACGTATGCTGATGCGCACAAGCAGAAAAGGAATGAAGGGTGAGTTTCTCTGGTTTTTCTCGAGAGAAAGCTTTTATATCTATGAATCATCTTTGATCTTTCTTGAATGTTTTTTAAAAGTTTCCCTACCAGTTGTGCTCGTTCATTCGATCAGTTTGTGTGTATTTTATGACAGCGTTGTGGAATTTGCCACCCACTCTGACATGAAGAATGCACTGGAGAAGCTGGACGATGCCGACTTGAACGGTCGCCGGATTCGGCTGGTCGAGGACCGAGGGAGGTCCCGCCGCTCTCGCTCGTCCTCGGGCTCTCGATCTCGCTCCCGATCCAGGTCGCGGGATCGGCGCCGTTCTCGCAGTCGCTCTCGCTCCAAGTCTCGTTCCAGGTCAGTCCTGTCCTTGCTCGACGAATCCAGATGTATGCATCGTTTGGGGTTTCCTTTTCGGGGGATCCGTGATATCGCGTAGGGGTCAAGATAATAGACAGCTACGCAGTGATGCGCGTCTCGGTTACGTGATGTTAATGGAAGTTTCTGAGTGCTCTGGAGTAAATGCGATCTGGTAAACGAGGTAATATCATACACTGCTGTCGTTTTTCAATCCATGCGATGATGTTCCATCTTTCGGGACTGAGTAACACTGATGAAATCATTCCCAACGTGTTCTGAGCATGAGTTTCGTTCAACCGACATATTTTTGAAGAATTTCCTGAGCCGAGAAACCACTTCAATAACGTATTCCTTAATTTTTTTATTTTTTCCCAGGTCTAGGAGCCGTTCTGCTTCGAAGTCCAAGTGAGTTTCTCACGTCGTGACTCGGTCGATTTGTTCTGATTGGCGCATTTTCTAATCCTGTCGTGGGATCTGCCGTTTTAGGAGCCGCTCGAAGTCTCGCAGCCGTAGTAAGAGCCACTCCAAGTCGAAGTCGAAGTCCAAGTCTAAGTCCAAGAGCCCAGTTGCTGAGAATCACAAGTGAGACCTTTCTGCCGAATACACGACCGTGTTTTTCTTGTCTGGTTTGAAAACAAACCAACGAATGGAAGCTGCAGGAAATCGTCTTGATCGCCCCCAGGCTGAACTTTCCCTAATTATGCCTCAGCGAAGTAGTATGTCGAGTGTCCTTGTGCACCGGCCATATTTTTTTTGACTCCATGATCTTTTCTGAGGAGAGGTGTGACGCAAAATTTTGCCAGCATGAGGTCTTCTGTTGCAATTGGCACTCGGGCAGTCGCTAGAGAAGGAACTAAGTCTTTGATTGCCTTTGGAAAAAACATTTGGTAAACTTGATTCAGACCCTTGTGGCATGTGTAAAAAAAAAAATTGTGCTAGCATTAATCATGCAAACAGATGGTGCATTAGTGTCAGGCTTATCGAGCTTGAAGCTCTAAAAAAAATATTATTTTAACTGGCAAGCAGACGTACGCGTTTATCAAAGGGGTTATTTCACGATTTTTGTCATTACTGTTCACATATTGCTATTTTTGAAAGTTTCTGCCCGATTGGAAAATTTTAATGGGAATGGCGAGGAAAATTTCATCGATGGGTTTTGTCCGATTCTCTGTTCTCAGGAATGCCTCGCGATCCAGAAGCAAGAGCCCCCCCGAGAAGAAGAAGCAGCGCGACGAGCACAACGGCAGGGAAGACAGCCGCTCGAAGAGCCGTTCCCGTTCCCGTTCGCGGTCCCGTTCCCACTCGGGATCCCGGAGCAAGAGCAGGAGCAGGAGCAGGAGCAGGAGCCCGCCCGACCACAACGACTCGGGGGCGAAGGACGAGTGACGAGGCCGTGTCATGCCGTGCCATGCCATGTCATGCCATGTTTCGAACTCTATCTGGTTACAATTTTTTTTTTTCTCTTTTGTCTTCTACCGATGCTTTCTGCCTGGCTGTACAAATGGTCTCTCGTGTCGTCGTTTCGTTCTCTCGCCTGTCGCGTATCGTCTGTCGTTGCTCCTCCGCCTCTTTCCTGGTTTCTTGCCATCGCACCGCGTCCAGATGATTTCGTGTTCGATCCGTGGAATTCCGTGTGGGTGTCGGGATGAAAGTAGAATCGTTTCTCAGGAAGGAGTTCCAGCATACAGGTAAATGTGCATAATGTATCGATCGCCTGGAAATGTTTTCTTTCCTCGTTGTTTACACTCTGTGAACCTTGTTCTGTCTTGTGAATAAAGTTCTCATCATAGTTTGTGATGTTCTGCTTTTCGAATTGACTTTTTTTTTTTAATCCCATGAGACGTTGAAGTGGAACCAAATGCGGCCGAAGGGGAACATATGGTTTGTGAGATTAAAAAAAAAACTTGCTTAATGGGATTTTGGAGTGCCAAACTCTTTCCCGGACGTATCGATTACGTAAGTCGGGCAAAAGGATCGACGTGGAAGGTACTATCGTCGGAGATTCCTTCGGCTGAAGCAGAGAAGGAATGAATGGTGAGTTTCATGCCTCTGGTTTTTCTCGAGAGAAATGTCTTTTATATCTGAGTCCTTTTGATCTTGGATGTTTTGTAGCATTTCACTTCGAGTTACGTTCATTCCATCAGTTCTTTGTATTTCGTGACAGCTTTGTGGAATTTGCCACCCACACCGACCTGAAGAAGCTGGACGATGCCGACTTGAACGGTCGCCGGATTCGGCTGGTCGAGGACCGAGGGAGGTCCCGCCGCTCTCGCTCGTCCTCGGGCTCTCGATCTCGCTCCCGATCCAGGTCGCGGGATCGGCGCCGTTCTCGCAGTCGCTCTCGCTCCAAGTCTCGTTCCAGGTCAGTCCTGTCCTTGCTCGACGAATCCAGATGTATGCATCGTTTGGGGTTTCCTTTTCGGGGGATCCGTGATATCGCGTAGGGGTCAAGATAATAGACAGCTACGCAGTGATGCGCGTCTCGGTTACGTGATGTTAATGGAAGTTTCTGAGTGCTCTGGAGTAAATGCGATCTGGTAAACGAGGTAATATCATACACTGCTGTCGTTTTTCAATCCATGCGATGATGTTCCATCTTTCGGGACTGAGTAACACTGATGAAATCATTCCCAACGTGTTCTGAGCATGAGTTTCGTTCAACCGACATATTTTTGAAGAATTTCCTGAGCCGAGAAACCACTTCAATAACGTATTCCTTAATTTTTTTTTCCCCAGGTCCAGGAGCCGTTCTGCTTCGAAGTCCAAATGAGTTTCTCACGGTTTCTCAGGCGAATGTGCATAATGTATGGATCGCCTGGAAATGTTTTCTTTCCTCGTTGTTTACTCTGTGAACCTTGTTCTGTCTTGTGAATAAAATTCTCATCATAGTTTGTGAAGTCCTGCTTTTCGAATTGCTCGAAAGGGAACATTTGGTTCGTGACATTAAAAAAAAAAGTGCTTTCGTGATCTTCGAGTGCCAAACCCTTTCCCGGACGTATCGATTACGTAAATCCGGACAAAAGGATCGACCTGGAAGGTATTATCGCCGGAGATTCCTTCGGCTGCACTTAGAGGGCTTCAGGCCGTGCCAAGTGGAAGTTCGGGATTCGTGCAGTTTTGCATTTTCCATTTTGAGTTTTGCGCGAGGTTCCCCGGTGCGGCTGCAGTCAAGAGCACGGAAAATCAATTCGTTGATGTTCGTTCGGATCCGGGAAAGATATTCGGAGGAGATCGCGGATTGAATTTCTGGAACTGCCGATATCTCGTATCGCGACGGTCTTCGCGACTCGTGCCACCCGGACCGGCCGCGATCACAAGCCGGTGTCGCCGTACTGTGACGCTGCGACATCTCGCGTCGCACTCAGGAAGTGCCTCGCCCTCCGCCTTCATTTTACGAATGGAAAAAAAAAGGATTCATCAATCGGCGCCTATCGCCTTCAATGTCCTTCCCGCTAGAAAATTCAACCTTCTCGTGTTCCTCTCTGAGAGCATCAATAGGAACAAAATTGGGCCTGTTTCTTCCGCTCTCAAAACGGAATAGCTCCTGCAAATTTGAAGCTCTATCCCCTGGGGGGAGATTGTGGAGAATACGTTATTGAAGTGGTTTCTCGGCTCAGGAAATTCTTCAAAAATATGTCGGTTGAACGAAACTCATGCTCAGAACACGTTGGGAATGATTTCATCAGTGTTACTCAGTCCCGAAAGATGGAACATTTTTTTTTTCCCCCCCCCCCCCCCCCCCCAGGGTAACCACTCCTGGGGGGGTTCGGAGGAAAGAGACCAAACACAGGAAAGATTCTGACTCGTAGATGACGAAAGGTGGCCTTTTTGTTGCTCGCAATGCACCGTTTCGCCATAAAAAGAATGAAATCAGCTGTCGTTGAGTTAGGCTTAGAGTGCTTGCTCAGGTACCGTCCCCCAGTGTTGCCGGATACCGTGCCGAAATTATGCCAGATTCAGGACTACTTCAAACTTCGTATCGGCGTCCGGATCTTTTTTTTCTTTTTCTTTTTACGTATGAGACATTTTCGTGCCGAGTTCATGAATTGAGCCGAGAATGAAGCGGTGGTTAGCAGTGATTGATCGATGTGGTGCGACATGGAGAGATCTCCTCCGGACTTCCCTGCATTAACAGGATGGCGCATACCAGGGTTATCGTGCTTCCTGGAGGCATTCCTTTCTCTGACCAGTTCGAGATGATTCGAGGAACTCCAGATAGGCCTAACGTCCCACGTCCGCACTGAAATGGTTCGTGAAAGTATGAATAGGCCTGCGATTGGCCTAACGTTATACGTCCGCAACGAGATGTCTCGAAGACCACAGATTCACCCTTATAGGCCTAATTGGCCCAGTAAATCGAGAATTTAGTTCTTTTTGAAAGAAACAAGGCTTGACCTGAAAGCAGCCTGTTGGTTATGCCTAGGCCTGACGTTAGTGAGTTTCCCGTAGAGAAGGGGTGAGGTTGAAGAAAGGGTTGAAAATCGGTTTTCACATCACGACATATATGCCCGCGATGCACCGCACGATATATACTGATATTAACAGCATTAACCGATTGATTTTGCCAAATGGCCCAAAGTTTTGGTCGATATCTTTCCAGGTTCCTGCCCTTTCTCTTTCATTTTCGCGCATTTTTGGAACAGAAAACCCTGCTCCATCCCCTCCAAATCCCCTCCATCCCCTTCCACCCTCCAAATCAGGCACACGCACGCTCGACGAAAACGAGCAGACGATGACGACGACGTCAGCCCGTGGTTCCCTCAGCAGCCGCTAGGATCGCTGGCCGCATCCCGTCGGCCGAGCGGCGTGCTCCGTGGCTCGAGAGGTGCCGGCGCACTCCTGCCACCTGTCCGACACGCTGTGAAGTACGCAGTCGAGCGGGAGCGGCTGGCGTCGCCAGGCCGCGCTCTCGGACTCCGTCTGGATGTCGTGACGAGGACCATCGTATTCTTTGAGTGTGAGATGGGTGAATTTTCCTTCGATGAACGTGTTTGAGCGCCATTCGTCACAGGTAAATCGGCTTCATGCTACCTTTGCACGTTTCTAAGCGAGGAAATGTGGACCTAGCGGCCAACGTGAAGACGGAGATGGGGTGAGTAGGGTTGCCACCTGTTCGTAATTAGTATGGACAGTACATGTTTCAGACGTATTGTCCATAATGCCGACTGGTCCTAATATGGGCACTGTTTTCTCCATATTTTACAATCAAGAATTTTTCTCTCAAGAAAGCTTAATAGCAGCTAATATCGTTATTTCCCATAAGTTTAAAGCACTAGGCCACATTCATAGCATCGATTGGCGCCCAGGCCGAAGGTGGCTGCGGGTATATTTCGAATATTTGTCCACATATTTTGTCAAATCCAAAGGTGGCCACAACCCCAGGCGCGAGTCGTCCACGTTTCGTCGTTCGGCGTCGATTCCGACCAGGCACCGAGCGAAGCGTCCGATCGCCGATTCTTCCGGGATCGACGTCGCGTGAACCGACCGGTCGTTTGTTTTCCATTCAGGCGCTTTGGCGAAAATATTGCGAGATGAATCGGTGCTCGGAGACGGAACGGCATCGTTCCCTCGGCCGAACCGTGGGGACCGCGAGACCCAATCTCGTTTGGGGTAGGGTTCATTTCGAGAATCAAATACACCACTCTGCAAAATACATGAGCGGTTTGCGACGGGGATTGGAGGGGGGGGGGGGGGGGGGGGGGGGACGAAGACACCAAGGTCATTCCTATATACGCACTATAACAGATCAGAGGGGGGGGGGGGAGGGGTCTCTCGGTACCGTTTTCTTTGTCACTCTTGGAGCTACCGCCTCGGGAAGTTTGCTTCATTCATTCGAAGAAAGCCGGTAACGTGATTGGGGCTAGACTCTCTTTGATCCAGCAGAAAAGAATCGTGCGTCCCCAGAGTCGACCTTTGACGAGCCGAGACGTGATTCCATCCGTTACTTGCAGCGGATCGGCTATGGCCTGGGAGCGAATGGCTCGCCGATCCATGGGGGAAAAATCGTTTGGAGAATGTCTGTTTTCTCCTTCCTAGGCTTCCAAAGCGTCGTTTGACAGTTGGCGTGACATCGCGATGTCGAATCGATCCACCGTGACTCATGAGAATTTTAACTTTCTGCGGGGAATCATTGTCCCTGAATATTTCATATTTATCGATATCTGTAAATAGCTGCTCAAAAATGCATATTACCAGTTCTTGAAATAGATGGCTGGCAGTTTAAAGGGAGTAAATGGTATGCCCTCGCCATGTGTAACAGGGTCTTAAGCCCCCTCTCGCCAACCTCGACTTTGTATAAGATTAATGACTGATACAATCACGATGAATGAAACTATAATGTGACACTTGATTCCCCCCCCCCCCCCTAGTGAGGCATCAAGACGGTAGGCTTGTTTCTGATGAACTTTCTTGCTTTTTATTGTTGAAAGGATTCTTCTTCGTTCACAAAGAAGCGTTTTCGGGGAGGCTACAGCCATTGTGATGGCTCGGGAACGCAACCGGGCAGCGCCCTCACCTCGACGGAGATCTCACTTTCGGTTCGTTGCGTCACTTCAAACACGGCATCGACGTTCTCAGAAAATAAAAAATGGAAAGGGGGAGGAAAGGGGGGAAGGGGGAGGGGGCAAGGGGGGAAGAGGGGCAGGGGTTAAGAAAACGAAACGCATAAATCCCAGCCACGTCCGACAATCCGCGACGCGAAAACGAAGCGATACTATCAGTTCGGTATTCTTCTCCTAATGGCGCTGCTGATAACACAATGCTCAGAGGAGACAGAACCATAGTGCTCGGCTTTGTGC